CTCTTATCAGGGACAAAGGGTTAGAGACCTTTTGGGGGAGTTTGATAATGGGTAAAGTCGGAGCTGGGTTCCAACCAACCCCCTTGCTATTTTTTCCCATTTGATATGGGGGAAAGTAATGTTCTTAAGGAGAAGGGGAAGATGGGCTCCCAACTTCTGTATTTTCTTGGAAAGTTGCACGCCAGCTTCAACTTGGTGTGTGCCTTTCTTGAAAAATCCAGGAAACCCCTTCACGAGAGGGTTGTCTCCAATCAAAGACAGGCACTCTATCTCAAGCACTCTCTCTCCTCTCTCTTAAGCACTCTCTCTCCTCTCTCTTAAGCACTCTCAAGCTCTCAGACACTCTCCCATATTTCAATACGACAAATTTCTATAGCATTAGGAACTAATTCATGGTGCTAGTATTGTTAACTGGTGCTCACTTAAAATTGCCTCGCTCGGATTGTGTTGGATGGCACAGAGATCTGAGCTTAGGCTCAGAGGTGAACATATGGACAATTCTGTAATAAGAAGGGGGACCCATTACTTACCCATAGAAAAAGGAAAGGGGGACCCATCCCAAAATGCATTGGCAGCAGTTAACTTTTACATGTGTTCCTAGTATGTACTAGCAGGTTGGGAAGGTTGTACTTCAGACTCGAGAATTTTATACAAGGCAATTCAAGAGTCATCCTTTAACAATGACTCAAGCTCACAATGATTAAAATTTGCGGTCAAATGCCTATTCACCAAATTGGCCTAATCCAGTGTAGCAAAATACTGCCCTGTAGATGCAGGCTGCCCTATCATGTGCAGATTAAAGGCCATGCATCGTGCTATACAATACCACTTTGGTGAATTTGTACGTACTCAATCTCTGAGGATGCTGGAAGAGTTACTTAAATATCGTCATTCAATATTTGATTGTGGTGGAGAGCAATTTTCGAATACGGAAAGCAAAGTTTCCTATCCTGAAGAGCCAATTTTAATATCCATTTCATAGTTGCTAGACCCTTGTAGGAAAGGTCACGGACCCGCTCCGGAACCTCGATCCCACAATTCTAGCTAGGGATCCTGGACGGAACACGGATCCCTATATTGTGATCCTCGTTCCCAATGGGCTTGAACCGCAGTTCTCAAGTGTAAATTTCAAAGCATATGATGTTTTATCTATTCAGCACTGATTCATATGCATTGATTCATGTTTGTGCCCGATGGCACTGAGAACCCACGCATCATTCGCAATCCCTTAAAACTTATTACGACGATTCCTTCCTCATGGAATTGCGCTTCCCTATGACAAGGATCCCGGTCCCTTGATATAGGATCGTACAAACGTCGATCCTCACCATAGGAGCTTCCAACAATCCACGGTTCTGTGGACCCGAGCCAGCTCCCATTCCCGGGAACGCACCCGCACCCGACAACTATGATCCATTTGCTACAAAGGTCAAGATTGCAAATGCTACATTTATACTAGGCAACTTTATCCAAATGATGCCTTCATAGAACTTTCCTAAAAAGTCAATATTCCAGCTTCAGGCATGACAACAATGAAAGAAGCATATGACAACAAAGAACATATTAAACCAATGGTGATCAATTCTCAAATTAGGAAGACCGTGATTGCAGGTGATGATTGAGGGTGTATTGTGTGTGGATCTCTCTCTCTCTCTCTCTCTCTCTCTCTCTCTCTCTCTCTCTCTCTCTTCACTTAACTCGTATGTGGAATTTGATAGTTTGTTGTTTATTATTAGAGCATTCGAAAGTAATCTTTGGCATAGTTATTGAGTTGAAAGTATGAGTACTACATAAGAAAAGACCCAACTAAATAAAATCACCAAAACAAACTATTATATATATATATATATGGAAAAGTCTTCCCAATGCTTATAGGCGAAAATGAACAGTGATTTTCGCCTACCCTCATCACCGTCCAAAGTTCATCGCACGGTTACGATTGTCTGGTAGTGTTTCATTTTTTATACAAATCAGAATGATCTGAATTTTGGAGCATGTGTACATCTTAGTGAGACGCACCTAATAAAAATATATAAAAAAAAATTCGCGAGAAGAAAATTGACCTAAATACCCTTGAAACGTTGCAGGGGTATTTTGGT